ACTTTCCCCTACCAAGACTTTCATACCTGTGAATAGTCCCCAGGCCTTCTTTTTTGTCCTGCTTTCTGTGAACTTTTATATTTGTGATACATTGGTAAAATTATTCCTCTTTTTGCTGTCCCTATTCCTTGATTTAAAATAATATCAACACTTGATAATTCCAGAGGAGGACAGACCTTGGACACTTAAACACTTGTTCTTGTCCTTCTAAAAGATTGACATCAGAACCAAGTGAGATGTCTAGATCCTGTTGTATTAAAGTTTATTTGGTGCCAAAAGGTAGACTAAATATGAACACTTTGTAGAAGTTATAAAGGAATGCTATGAGCCGTGTGAGAAAATCTGATTCATTATCTACATTGGTATTTATATTTAGCTTAGTAAAAGTGATCACCATATTGAGGTCTTTTATAATATTTCTCTCAGGTAAATTGATTTTAAAATTTTCAGTTAAAAGCAGTATGCATTATATCTTAATAAATGTCTAGTCTTAATTAATATCAGAACGATTATTCAGAAAACAAGATGATTTTAAAAATCCAATTCACAGTTGGAAATAGACATTGGATGGAAATCATATCACTGTTAATCATGCTTAAAGGGAAATGCTTGCATATTTAAATTATTATGCTCTCTTCATAGCATGGGCGTATCTTTTAATATTTCTAAATCAAATATTCTACTATATCATAATATATGCTTTAAATTCTGGCCAGCCTTTAGAAATTTCAGATAAGTCATTTGTGTGCTTGTGGTCATTTGGATCAAATCTTTGCTGGCTTATTTTCTTGCTGACTTATTTACTGCCACCGAAAGCTTTTAGAAATGATTCCCTACATATAAGAAGGACTGGAAAACTGCTTCTGTGTAGTAGGGACCTCCATTTAAAATAGTACTAATCAGGACCCCACTGACCTCATCTGTGGGAAAATGGTGAAGCAGGGGGAAGTGAAACAATGAATAGTGAGATGAGGCCACAGGTGCCTGAGTCTAGGGTACCCACGGAATTCCAGAGCCCTCCACAGATGTTGCTGCATGGCTTAGAAGAGAGCAAGGAATTCAGAAATAGCTGGTTATACAACTGCTTCTTCAGAAAGACCGATCAGAAGCACATCAGGGGCTCACATCTGTGCTTTTCTTAAAGGTGACCTATGGTGGCCTGAGCAAAGTTGGAGAATTATAGAACTGGAAGAGACTAGGAATCATGCAAATTTGGTCATCATTTTTAACACAAGAGATTCATGTCCAGAGAATTTTTCTCACTCCACCTAAGTTTCCTGGCTCTTTATTTGTTGACTAGTATCTGATGTGGTGGAACCAGTTGTGTGGACTTTTGGTGACCTTGGGTTTAAATCCTAATCATCACTTATAAGTCTGGGGCATATACTTGAGTCATATAAACTTTGTGATCTCAGTTTCCTCTTTAGTGAAAAAGCAACAATCATATATACTTCACCAGTTTTTGGAATGTTCAGTAAGTTAATGTGTAGGGGGGAGAAAAGTCCTGCATTTTGACTAGCACCTAATAGACCTTCAGGAAAGAGTAGGTCACTGTTCTCTTTTACCCAAGCGTCTCAAGCTCCTACCTCAGGGAAGACTCCAAACAGACCCCTCTGAGAGCTGAACTTTGGCCAATAACCATGAGCTAAGTAGTACATTGATACTAGCCCTGCAGCTCTAGCAAAAAGCAAATCCAACTGAAAAGACTACTGTTATTTCTAACCGTCCCAAGGTTGCCTTCTGAAGGCACCAGATGAAACCAGTGTCCTGAGGATCATCCTTATTTCACTCCTGCTTTGGCAGCCTTAGGTATCCAGGATACCTAACAGCAACCCAAGACCCAGTAACGTAACACAGAGGACATCTGGCTGATATGGAATACGAAGACACAGCCCCAGCCTTCACTCCACTCTTCCCACCTCCCATTTTGTCCTGATTTCTTCCACTTCTTCTTTTCCTACTCGACCCTCCCCTCACCTCCCCTTTCTACCCCCATATAGATCAAATTTTGGAGATGGATATCACTTCTCATTTGCTATTGACATCATTATACCTCATTTGCATCTAATTCTAATTGAGTTACCCAGAGCTTCATATCCTTTATGATCCCTATCTATTCTGGAACTATCTGTTTTTCTCACAGCATTCTATATCCTCCTTTCCCTACTTACATGGGCAAAAAGAAATACGTGTCTGTACTTTATGAATAGATGGACACTAGATGAAAAAAGAAACGGAACTCTTGTATACATCTTTCCAGGGCTGCAGTGGTATACTTCATAGGCAGAAATATAGTTAACAAAGGAAATATAACACACAAATATGTCAATGCTCCATTCTAGTTTTTAAAAATGAGGGTCGTGGGTATTTGTAGCAAGGTGTTTCTGGTAAGAGGTGCTACATGAGAGAGATGAAAAATTATGCCTGTTTTTCTGGAAGGTAAGAAAAAAGTGTCAGCTAGAAGTAAAGATAGATGAGAGCCATGAACTTCTACCTTGAGTATTTGTATCAAAGTGAAAAAGGGACTGAGCATTATTTCTTAAATGACTTTCATTGTATATCCTGATGACAAAATAAACATGCTTTGATGATGGAAACTTTAGGAAATGCTAATAAGCAAACAGAAAAAAAAAATCAAGAAAAAGAAAACAGAAAATCAGAAAAGAAACCATCTGTTACCCATAATCCTACCTCCCAGATATAGCACTGATAATGCTTTCTAAATTTGTTTATGTTTCCTAATATATTTACTTATTATAAACACTTGTTCATGTAACAAGATAGACTTGTATAAAATCATCCCTATGGCTTGCAGTCTCCTATCATATGAAAGTTTCATAATATAAATTTATAAACAAGTCTGCAGTACACATTGCCCTTTCTGTATGTATCTTCGCTAACATGCCCCCCTGCATGGCTCAGCAAGGACTTAGACTGTCCATGTCTACTGAATTTTGCTTTTTTTTTTTTTTTTTTTTTTTTTTTTTTTTTGAGATGGAATCTTGCTTTGTTGCCAGGCTGGAGTGCAGTGGCACGATCTCAGCTCACTGCAATCTCCACCTCCTGGGTTCAAGCGATTCTCCTGCCTCAGCCTCCTGAGTAGCTGGGACTACAAGTGTGCACCACCACAGCCAGCTGATTTTTTGTATTTTTAGCAGAGATGGGGTTTCACCATGTTGGCCAGGCTGTCTCAAACTCCTGACATTGTGATCTACCCACCTCAGCCTCTCAAAGTGCTAGGATTATAGGTGTGAGCCACTGTGCCTGGACTGTCCACTGAATTTTTACAGAGTGTTTACTGATTACCCACCACCACTGGTTGTTTTTCTTTGAGAATACTATTCTTATTTCCATGTGCATTCTTTAATACTAATTCTGGTAACAAATTCAATGCAACAAATAGGAAGAAATTATATGCAATAGTCATGGAAACAGCTCCAACCAACACTATTCAATGAAATTCATTTGAGGAAAGATATTGAGTCTAATATAACCTGCATAGGTTAATTTAATATGTCATGATAATATTGTTATAGGGACTCAACTAATTTTTGTTTTTTGTGGGAAGAGTAAGTTATACTTAATAAACATAATAAATTAGTGGCTATATTTCAGTTTGCCTGCTGGAGTTTCTGAAGATATTATTACTGTACCAACTGATCACATTAGCTGTGTTTCCTGAGCAGGTGCCCTGTAACATATAATTGTACATGCATGAATTCATTTCTCACAATAGTACCTTGAAAAGTTACACAGTAATCCTATTTTGCAGAAGAATAAAGTAAGGCACACAGAGGGCAGTAATTAGCCTGAGGTTAAACAAAAGCTGGGAAAGCTGGGATAGGAACAGGCCATCTGCTTGGAGCCCACACTCACTCTTAACCACTATGGTTGGAGGGCCTAGATGTAAGTGTTCTTCGTATCAATTCCAATTATGTAACTCCAATACCAGAAAAGAGTATTTACATTTCAGGATATTGTGAGCATTCCCATGAGGAAATGAACAAGTAAAATACTAAATCCACTGTATGGAGCTGCAGACTCCTCTTCTAGAAATATGCTTGCTCATATTTTAAGGAAAAAAATTACTTACAGCTAATTTAGAGTTTTAGCTTGGAGAAGATATACTTTGGATTTTATTGTAGGGTAAAATCCAAAACGGCAGTTAGTTACATTGTAATTATTCAAAGCTAAATAGAATATACAAAAACCTCATTGGAAAGTCCAGTCAAACTTTGAGAAGCAGTTTAAGGAGCCATAATGTTTGAATCTGAAGTTTATAATGGATGCATTCTTTTTTAAGAATGATGAGGTTGGGAGGCTGAGGTGGGAGGATCGCTTGAGCTCAGGAATTCAAGGCTGCAGTAAGCTGTGATTGCACCATTACACTCCAGCCTGAGTGACAGAGTGAAAAGAAAAGAAAAAAAGAATGATGAAATTGCAATCTGTTGGGAAAGCAGTAGAGGATATTGGTTGATAGTATCAGCTCTAGAGTCAGATTTCCTGGATATTATAGCACTAGACTTGCCATCTTGAGCAAAATTCTTAACCTTACTAAGTTTTGGCTTTCTATTCTGTAATAGGAAATCAGAACAGTCCTACTCCATTGGATTGTTTTGAAGACTAAATGAGAAATACATATAAAGCACATAGCAGGATGCATGGCATATATAATGTTAAAGAAATATTAGCCAATATGATGGTGATTAATAATCATTGCTGGCCTTTTACACCCTCTCTAAACATATGCAAGCCCAGTAAATTTCTACTAGCCAGAGTACATCCCTCCCTCTTGCAGGTGTCTATCTAAAATTCATGCTGAAACTGAGGTCCAATTAGAGATAGCTCCTTTCCCAGTTTAATTCATCTTCAGCCTTAGAAATCTTTCACCATAATCCATGGTGTTTCTCCATTTAATAGTAAAGCTAAAATTCATGCAAAATTTCTGAAAATGCATTCTGACCTCTGGTTTATACTTATGAATGGCTTTTATTCTTCAGGTCATCTTCTGGAAGCTGCTGAGCATTATGAAGCATTCCATCAATTGACGCAGGGGCGGATATGGAAGGACGAGACAGGCCGCTCTCTCAACTTGTTGGCCTGTGAGAGTCTCCTGAGGACTTACAGATTACTCTCAGACAAAATGCTGCAAAATAAAGAATACAAACAGGCCATCAAAATTCTAATAAAAGCTTCTGAAATAGCCAAAGAAGGTGGGTAGAAAAGAACACTCTCACATTGTTTTCTTTAATGGGTAGACACTGGTTCTCCCAAGAGTGAAGTAAAAATCGTCAAGTGTTAGGGTGATTATTTCCTATGAAATGCAAAGACAAATGCCATCAATTTACTATCAAATTTCACTGTAAAACGGAGGTGCCTTAGTGCTGACAACAAGAAATCCATTAGTTTCTTGAAAGCTTTATCTCCAAAATTACAATCCACTGGGGGTAGTGCTGTAAAACAAAGAACCTAAAGTGAGAAGGTAAGATCATCTGCAAAAGTTAAGTGTGGGTATGTGCAATGTGCATGTGTGTATGTGGTTGTATATTCCTTGGAGTCTTAGAGACCTTTCATTGTTTGCACATTTCCCATTGTCAGGTAACAAGGAAAATATGATATATATTTAGTTATCAGTAACAGGAAAATAGGACTGTAATATATTTTAGATCAAATGTGGCCTTTAGACCAGCAGCTTCAGCATCTTATAACAGCCAGGGTCTCAGGTCCCACCCTAGACCTACTGCAGCAGGATCCCCAGGTTAGCAAGATATCCAGGTGATGTATATGTACACTTAAAGCAGTGAAAATGCTTCTATGAGAGCTGCTCATGTCTTTTATAGTCTGTATCATTTCTGTACATGTAAAATACAAAGAAAAAATTTGGAGCACATTCTTACAAGCTTTTAATTTCTGAAATGCAAGGATATTTTGTTACCATATAGTAATTTATTAATAAAATAGCCTTTTCGTGAAGGAGAAAAAGATAAAAGTTATGCTCCTGAACTGAAGTGTATTAGCTCATGGATATATTTAATTGATTGGTTTATTAAATAATAGATGGCTTATTTAGAGTGAGCAGGACTGATTTCCTGGGTGTGATTTTAATTTACTAAAGAGTAAAAATAAACAGCTTAGTCTCTCTGTAACTTCTTTCAATAATATTAGTCAACATACTCACAGGAAATCACCCCCTGAAAGATGTATCTCATTAAATGAACTACTTTTGTATAAGTGGTCTAGTATCTTCCCCCAAAAGGGTAAACACATAGTTAGCTCTTAGATCAATTTCAGCAGCAAACTTTAGTCACATGGAAAGTTACATGGAATTTCAATGAAAAGGAATGCATTGATTAGGAAAAGATACCTTACTTTAGGTTTACTTTGCTAAGTTTTAAGGTAGTTCACAAAGAAAGAAAAGTTCCTTGGGTCTCTGCCAACAGTCAGAGCCTGTCAAGCAGTCTTCCTTCAAAAAGCATCTCTCGCTTACCAAAGATCAGATCAGGAGAACAAGAGAAGACTTACTTCTTAAGCTGTTATAGTTTTTAATGTCTTTTAAAACCAATAAATATTTGTCCCCACATTTTTCTTCGAAGAAAGTACATAGGTTAAAGGATTGCACAATACTTTTCAGAGCTCTTAAAGAGGGTAAATATTCTGGGACAAAGTATCCCGTTACTCTTGTCTCCTACGTTGATCAGGGAGCCTGAAGGAGCAAGCTGATGATTACCCAAATAAAGCATGCCTCTCACATTGGTTTACATAGTATTTAAGGGGTACTGACACCAACTGTCGGCCAGCTCCTTTGTTAGGGTACATTGGTGTAATGCACAAATGTAGCATCAGCCAACACCTTTTACTTAACATAATGTTTTCAAGGTTCATCCATCATACAGGGCCAAATCACATTCCATTGCATGGTTATACCACATTTTCTTTATTCACTTATCAGTTGATGGACATATGAGTTGTTTCCACCTTTTGCCTATTATGAATAATGCTAGAATGAACATTTGTGTACAACTTTTCAAAGATCTTGATTGTATGCTTAGGAGTGGCATCACTGGGTTATATGACAACTGTGTTCAACTTATTGAGGAGCTACCAGTTTTCCAAAGTGGCTTCACCATTTGACATTTCCAGTAGTAATACATAAGGGTTTCAGTTTAGCCACTTCCTCACCAGCACTTGTTACTTCTATCTTCTTCATTATACTTATCCTAGTAGGTGTAATGTGGTATCTCACTGTGGATTTGATTTGCATTTCCCTGTTGGCCAGTAACATTGAGCGTTTTTTGTCATGTGCTTCTTGGCCATTTGGATATCTTCTCTGCAGACATTTTTATTCAGATTCTTTGCCCGGTTTAAATTTTTTTTTTATGATTGAGTTTTAAGAATTCCATGTATATTTTATGTACAAGTCTTTCATTAAATATATGATTTGAAAATATTTTCTCCTGTTCTGTGGGTTTTATTTTCACTTTCTGATGGTATTCATTGAAGTACAAGTTTTTAATTTTGATAAAGTTCAGTTCATCTAGTTTTTCTTTTGCTGTTCTTTTGCTGTTCTGATATCATCACTAAGAAGGCTTTGACCAATACAAGGTCACAATGATTTACTCCTACGCTTTAAGAGTTTTATAGTTTTAACTATATTTAAGCTTATGATCTATTTTCAAGTGTGTGTGTGTGTGCACGTGCGTGCACAAATGTGGTGTGAGGAGGGTACAACTTCATATTTTGAAAGTGGATATCCAATTGTACTAGTAATACTTGTTGAAAACATTATTCTTTTCTCAATACATTGTAATGACACCCCATATAAAATCATTTGACCATAAATGTGAAGATTGTTTCTGGATTCTCAATTCTATTGGCTTGATCTCTCTTGTCTAACTTACAACTACAACAATACATAGATTTTATTACTCTAGTTTTGTAGTGAGTTTTGAAATTCGGAAATGTGTGTTGTAACATTGCTGTTTTTCAGGTTTGCTTGGGTTGTTTTCATCACTTGCATTTCCATGTGAATTTTAGGATCAGCTTGTCAATTTCTGCAGAAAGGGGAGCTGGAATTTTGATAGGAATTGCATTGAATCTGTCAATCAATTTGGGGAGTATTGCCGTCTTAACACTAAGTTTTTCAATCCATGAATATGGGCTATCTGTCCATTTATTTAAATATTCTTTAATTTCTTCCAATGATGTTTTATAGTTGTCAGTGTACATGTACTGCCTTCTTTTGTTAAATTTATTTTTAATATTTTATTCTTTTGATGCTATTGCAAATGGAATTGTTTCTTAATTTCATTTTCGGATTGTTGATAACCTGTACGTAGAAATAAAACTGACTTTTCTATATTGATCTTATAGCTTTCAACCTTGTTAAACTCATTTATTAGCTTTGATAATTTGTTATGGATTCTTTAGGATTCTCTGTATATAAGACTATGGTATCTGCAAATAAAGTTTTGCTGCTTCCTTTCTATCTGTGTGCCTTATCTTTTTCTTGCCTAATTTATCTGACTAGAACCTCTAGTGCAACAGTTTTAAACAGAAGTATATTTACTGAGGGCTTTTTGTAGATGCTGTTTACTTTGTTGAGAAAATTCCCTTCTATTCCAAGTTTATTGAGGGTTTTTAACATGAAAGGGGGTTGGATTTTGCAAAATGCTTTTTTCCTACCTCTATTGAGAAGGTCATATGATTTTGTCTTTTATACTATTAATATGGTATATTATACTGATTGGTTGGCATATGTTGAACCAACTTTGCATCGCTGGGCTAAATTCCACTTGATCGTGGTGTATAATCCTTATATGTTACTGATTTTGCTTTGCTAGTAATTTTGTTAAGGATTTTTGTGTCTATGTTCATAGGAGACATGAGTTTATAGCTTTCTTTTCTTGTAATGTCTTTGTCTGGTTTGATGTCAAAATAATACTGGCCTCATAGAATGATTTGGGAGGTGTTTTCTCTTAATTGCTTAAAAAGTTTGTAAAAGCTTAAAAAGTTTGTAAAAGATTGATGTCAATTCTTAAAATATTTTTTAAAAATTCACCAGTGAAGTCATCTGCGCCTGACTAGCCTTTTCTTCAGAGAAGTTTTTAAATTACTAATTCAGTTACTTTACTTGTTATGAATTTATTCAGAGTTTTGATTTCTTCTTAAGTCAATTTCAGTAGTTTGTATCTTTCCAGGAATTTGTCTGTTTCATCTAGTTTATCTAACTTGTTAGTATGTAATTGTCCACAAAATTCTCTTATAATCCTTTTTATTTCTGTAAGGTCTGTAGTTATTTACCTTTTTTCATTCTTGATTTTAATAATTTAAGGGTTTCTTCTTTTTCTTTTCTTTTTTTTTTTTTTTAATCTAACTAAACATTTGTTAATTTTGTTGACTTTTTCAAAGAATCATTTTTTGTTGTGTTGATTTTCACTATGGATTTTTTATCCTTTATTTTTTTCATTTCCACTCAAGTCTTTCCTACTTCCTTCCCTCTGTTTGATTTGAATGTAGTTGTATCCTCTTTTGCTAGTTTTATAAGATGGAAAGGACTTTCTTATTTTTAAATATAGACATTTATAGCTATAAATTTCCCTCTATGCACATCTTAGTTTTATCCCATAAATTTTGGTTTGTTGTGTTTTCATTTTCATCTATTTCAGAATATTTTTTGGTTTACCTTGTGATCTTCTTTGACCTACTGTTCATTTAGGAGCATCTTTAATTTCCACATAGATGCAAGTTTCCCAAATTTAATTCTATTATGTATTTTTAATTTCACATTATTGTGAATACCACCTTTTCAATGGAGTCTACTCTGATAACCATATTTAATATTGAAACCTGCTTTGTCCTCTGGACCCCCACTTGGCTCTCCCAATTCCCCTTACCCTGCTCTATTTTCTCCCTAGAACACTTGTTAGCATACACCTTATGTAATTATTCTTTATTATTTATTTTCTCTCTCTTTATGTCTCTGTCCTCTAAAGCATCAGTTTTGATGTGTCACTCAATTTTAGTAGTGCCAAGATTTTAGACCTAACCTTTTCTTTTTGGTTGTTGTTAATCCTATTCTTACTGACATTTTTCTCTGTTATGTTGTTGCTTTCACTTTATCTTAACTTTGCCTCTATTAGTGAATAAGAAAAGTTCTCATGTTTAAATATTATTTAAAAACTAATATTTGGTGTTTCCAAACTGTATCAGTAGCAATAGATGATGTTTTCCTTCCTTTCTCCTCTTTGCTGAGCTTCCACTCACATAAAATTAGATGCAGATGATGGTGCTATATCAGCCCAGCCAGTTGCTAGTGCTTTAACACAGTTACACCACTTGACACAGAAAATACATAACACATACAGCCAACTTTTAACTCTCTAATAAGTAGCTTCCTGTCATAGCCTCTTTCTTCTATTCTGTCTTCACTAGTCCCAGAACCCGTAATCCTATACCAGAGAAAAAGTTAGGGCCCAGCTGAATTTTAAGAGTTAAAATTCCCCTTACTGGATCACTGGCATCATCAACTCTGCTAAAATGAGATCTTGAAGGGGTAATTCTCTGTAATCAGGGAAATAGCTAAAGAAGAAAAAATACTGTCACTGGCATTTGCCATCCTATTTCCTTGAAGTCTTCAAAGAGCCGCTGCATCAGCAGTGGTTATTTGGTGAGTGGTGAGAGTGAATGCAGCGTGAAATATTGTTCCTGCTGACATCCTTCATGGTTGGAATGTGGAGCTCAGAAATCTAAGGATACTTCCTGTATTCATCTATTTTGCATTTCTATAAAGGAATATCTGAGGGTGGGTAATTTATAAAGAAAAGAGTTTTGTTTTTTTTTTTAACTGAAAACTCCACAGACTGTACAAGCATGGTGCCAGCATCTCCTTCTGGTGAGGGCTTCAGGAAGCTTCCAATCATGGCGGAAGGCAAAGGGGAGCAGGCATGTCATATGGCGAGAGAAGGAGCAAGAGAGATGGTAGGCTCTTTAAAGCAATCAGCTCTCATGTAGACTAATAGAGCAAGAGCTCACTCGTTACCATGAGGATGGCACCAAGACATTCATGAGGGATCTGCCCCCATCACAGACACCTTCCACAGGCACCACCTCCAACAGTGGGGATCACATTTCCATGTGAGATTTGGAGAGGACAAACATCAAAACCATATCACTTACTTTCCAAAGACCAAAAACAAAGGTTAGATCACTCAGCATTTGCATTAGCTAGGAGTTAGTCACATTAGAAGCCAATGTTATATTTAATATACTAAATATAAGCAAGTTATATGTTTGCCAAATGGTATGAGATATGTCATGTTGAACCACGTTATATCTTCACACATTTTGCTTTTGGAAAGAAGTGGTTAATTCCTGAAATAAAATTAGTAAGATACCACAGGAATTAGAAAGACTAACTTTCTTGCTAAAAAAAAAAAAAAAAAAAAAAAAAAGATGATGAAAAGCATATTACCAGTGATTAGTAAAGAAAAGTGTGTGGATTTCAAAATACGCATGGAATTTTCTACCAGGAAACTAAGCTCTGTCAGTTACTCTCACCTACGCTTTAATCAATAGCTCTTAAACAGAACATAATCAAAATAAAAATTCATTAATTTGCTAATTATCTGCAGTTAGAAACTTAGCTGAATGTCAGTCCATGTGATTGAGTATGAATGTTTGTGCACCATTTAAGGTTGTTATCCATTATCAGTTGTTTTATGTATGTAGTAGCAGCTATGCTAGATGACTGTATGCCTTTACATGTTGGACTAGTATAAAAATTATACATGAATGTCAAAATGATAATATTAGGCTGTGTTTATAAAGGGAAGCCCCTTTATAAACTGAATATAAACAAGTTGTATATTTGCCAAATGGTATGAGGTATGTCATGTACGAGGTATATAATTATATTGTTAATGCATCTTACTCTAATAACTATGATCCAGGTAAATTGTGTTTACATCAGCCTTTTTTTTTCAGTATACAGCTAGGTTGTGGGGATTATTGATAAAACTGCATACTTTAAAAAATAATAATTTTTTACTGTCTTGAAAAGCGAGGATTCTGTTTGTTGTAGTAAATCAATTTCTTGAATGCTTGGTAATTTTTTTACATCTTCACTTCAGGAAGTGACAAAAAGATGGAAGGGGAAGCCTCTTACTACTTGGGCTTAGCACACTTAGCTGCTGAGGAATATGAAACTGCATTAACAGTAAGCTAAACTTTTAATCACTACCATTTTTAATTATTTTAGTATATTTATTTTATTTTATTATATATTATTACAAGGCCAACAGAAATGACTTAGGCCTGACATAGGTGTGCCTTTTTACTGATATTAAAGCAGAATAGCAATATGCTAGAAGCATTTTAAAAATTGGTTTTATTGTTTATTGAAGGTACAGTGGTATATAATCAATTACTATGAAGTTCTTTGGGATATGTGAAAGTTAAATAAATGGAGTAATATGGCCCTCTATATGCCCATATCAACAAGGACAAGGGGAAATAGGTTTAAGTGATGGTAAAAAGTAAATAACAAAAAAGAAATTACAGTCATTTTATAATATGATTTGGGAAATTTTGCACGCACAAAAATGTGGTTATTAAGCAATAGAGTGAGCTGCCTTGATGTAGCTCTTCAGTGCAGGTAGTGAAGAGGCAACAGAGGTGGAGGTGGGTGTTAGTCCCAGTCTGAGAAGTAGCCTGCTCTATAATCAAATCACTGTTCAGCTATTTTGCAACCAGGTCTTTTTTTTTTTTTTGGCTAAAAACAAACAAACAAGTAAAAATGTCAAGGGTGATCTTTCCTGAATTATAACTGAAGTCATTTTTTCTTCTTCTCTTACCTCTATTATGTATTTAAAGTATTTCACCTACATCTCTTGTAATAATCCAGTTTGATACACAATATTGGATTTTAAGTTTTTAGGATCTTCTTTGTTCCTTTAGATATCTTTTGCAAAGTAGAATTACTATATTTGGGCTACATATTTTCCTCTAGTCCCCTTACAATCGGATATCAAGAAAACATAGGTTTTCCTAGATGACTCTTATGCTTAATATTTTTTAGTTAATGATTAGCATGCAGCAAAGATTTGTTTCTGATACCTTGGGGAGCACAGAGACCAATGAGATGCACACTTCCCTTTAGGAGTTAAGTTAATGAGGGCAAACAACTTGCGAGCATCACCACAATTCGAAGTAGGATGAACAGGGGCTTTTTAAGTGCAGAGGGAGGAGTGGTTGGTTCCAACACTGAAGACCAGGGAAGCTGCACCAAAAAAAAGTTTTTGAAAGACAGGATGTACACATGTAGAAAACATCAGAGTCCACAATGATAGAACACTAGATATACACGTGTGCACACATGTGTATACACTCAACAGGGACGTACTCAGTGTGTTGGGAAGCAAGGACTTAGGTGGAAGATGAGATTCAGTTGGAGATCAAGATGGAAAATTAGGTGAAAACTAGCTGATAGATATTCCTTCTCTCTCAGGTAATGCAAGCACAAAATAAATTCAAACAATACAATAAAATTCACAATGAAAACTACATTTTCTTTCTCTCCCTGTATTCAGTCTCACAGTTCTTTTCTCAGAGACAAACACAGTTACACATTTCTGGCTTATCTTTCCAAAAATATTCTATATATTCAAATATCTATAAAGTGCATATATATGTTTCTTTTTTGTTATTTAGAAAATTGTTGCATTTTATATGCACTGTTATGCACCTTGAGTTAATTTCTTTCATACTGACGCATAAAGGCATGTCTAGTTTTATTATTTTAATTTTTCCAGCTTTATTGAGGTATGATTGGCAGATAAACATTGCATATATTCAAGATGTGTGATGTGACGTTTTGATAAATCTATATATTGGGAAATTATTTCCCCAATCAAACTAGTTGGCCTGTCCACCACCTCCCATATTAACCTCTTTTGTATGTGTGTGAGGACATGTAAGATCTAGTGTCAGTAAACTTCAAGTATATAATACACCATTATTAACTATAGACAAGTTTCGTTGTATTTATTTATTTATAATTTCAACTTTTAGATTTGGGGGTACATGTGCAGATTTGTTATCTGAGTATGTTTTGTGATGCTGAGGTTTGTGGTATGATTGATCCTGTCACCCAGGTAGTGAGCATAGTACCTGATAGTTTTTTAGCCACTGCCCTCCTCCTCTAGTTGTCTATTGTTCTCGTCTTTATGTCCATAAGTATCCAAGGTTTAGCTCCCACTTATAAGTGAGAACATGTGGTATTTGATTTTCTATTCCTGTGTTAATTTGGACAAACCTTATCTTAAGGGGTCTACATGATATCCCGTTGTGTGACTGTGCCATAATGGATTCAAACATCTTCTACTGCTGGGCATTAAGGTTGTTTCTCATAACTTTTATTGTAAAGGATGTGGCAGTGAACAGTTTCATCAGATGTGACAAATTTATCCATGAATGGATTCCTAGAGGTGGAAATGCTGGTGTATCCTATTCCTAGTGGTATAGGATAGTCTAGTAATGAATAGATTGAAGAAGGAATATTTGACATCCAAGGGATGAATTACTTTACTTGAAACTGTTACTCCTTTCAGAAAAGTATGGAAATCGTTTCTCTGAAAGTATATGGGAAGCTTTAGTCCCTACAACCTATTAAATGTGTGACACTGGGCAAGTCCTTTACACTCTTTAAGTTTCAATTACCCCATCTATCCAGTGGGAGTAATAACTATACTTATTTCATAAAGGGTAGTGAGTTCAATGCTACTCCCCTCAAAAAAAAAAAAAAAAAAAAATCCACTTCCTAATCCCTGGCACCTGTGAATGCAGAAGTAACTAAGTTAAAGATCTTGAGATGAAGTGATCATCCTGGATTATCCAGGTAGACTCTAAATATGAAGACAAACATCCTTATAAGAAAAAGGCAGAAGATTTGAAACAGAAGACAGGAAGCCACATGCGCAGAGGAAAAGACCATATGAAGACAAGGGCAGATAGTGCAGTGATACAGTCACAAGTCAAGAAATCCCTGGAACTGCCAGGAGATAGAAGAGGCAAGGAAGGATCCTCTCCCAGAGGCTTCAAAAAGATCACAGCCCTGCTGATGCCTTGATTTCAGACTTCTAGCCTTCAAAGCTAGCAAAGAATACATTTCTATTATTTTAAGTCATTTAGTTTGTGGTAATTTTTATGTCAGCCCTAGGGAACTAATACACAGGGTGATAATAAGAGATAATTTATGTAAAGTTTTAAAAGACTGTCTCCCTGGTTTATAATAAACCTTCGATAATTATTGGGTTTTATTATTTTTTCACTAATCTAAGTCTCTGGACTTGAGCAGTAGTAGTGAAGATGGAGGGAACTAGACAGATTCAAAAGTTATAAAGGACTTGGTAAGAGGCTAAGTATAGGAGGTGAGGGGAACAGAGGTGCAAAGATGGGCCCTGAGTTCCTGGCTGTGGAACTGGATGGATGCTGGTGTTGTTTACAGGAGTAGGGAATGTGAAAGGCTTGTGGGGAAATGGAGAGTTCAGTTTTGGATACGTAGAATTGGAGGAGTTTTAAAGATATTCAAGGAGAGTTCAAGTAGACAGTTAAATATGAGGGTCTGGAGCTTAAAAGGAAGTCTAGAGTGGAAATATTATATGTGAAAATTAATTTTATGCATCAGCTTGGCTGGGTCATGGGATGCCCAGATAGCTGGCTAAACATTTCTGGGTATGTCTCCAAGGGTGTTTCTAGAGAAGATTAGCATTTGAATTGGTGGGTTGAGTAAAGCAGATGGCCTTCCCCTATGTGGATGGGCATCATTTAATCCATTGTGGGCTTCAATAGAACAAAAAGGCAGAGGAAGGGCAAATTTACTTGACCAGACTGTTTGAGCAGAGACATTGATCTTCCACTGTCAGCACTGATGGTTCTCAGGTCTTCAGACCCCGTCTGAATCTACATCACTGGCTCACCAGATTGCAGGTCTTCAAACTACAGCACCAGCTCTCCTGGGTATGCAGTTTACAGACAGCAGATAGTGGGATTTCTCAGTCTCTATAATCATGGCAGCCAGTACCTTACAATAAGTAACAAATCTCTCTCTCTCTCTCTCTCTCTCTCTCTCTCTCTCTCTATATATATATATATATGTGTGTGTGTGTGTGTGTGTGTGTGTCACTTCCTGAAGTGAAGATGCAAAAAATTACCAAGCATTCAAGAAATTGATTTACTACAACAAACAGAATCCTTGCTTTTCAAGACAGTAGAAAATTATTATTTTAAAAGTATGTAGTTTTATCAATAATCCCCACAACCTAGCTGTATACTGAAAAAAAAAGGCTGATGTAAACACAATTTACCTGGATCATAGATATTAGAGTAAGATGCATTAACAATATAATTATATACCTCGTACATGACATACCTCATACCATTTGGCAAATATACAACTTGTTTATATTTAGTTTATAAAGGGGCTTCCCTTTATAAACACAGCCTAATATTATCATTTTGACATTCATGTATAATTTTTATACTAGTCCAACCTGTAACGGCTTATAGTCATCTAGCATAGCTGCTACTACATACACAAAACAACTGATAATGGATAACAACCTTAAATGGTGCACAAACATTCATACTCAATCACATGGACTGACATTCAGCTAAGTTTCTAACTGCAGATAATTAGCAAATTAATGAATTTTTATTTTGATTATGTTCTGTTTAAGAGCTATTGATTAAAGTGTAGGTGAGAGTAACTGACAGAGCTTAGTTTCCTGGTAGAAAATTCCATGCGTATTTTGAAATCCACACGCTTTTCTTTACTAATCACTGGTAATATGCTTTTCATCATTTTTGTTTGTTTGTTTTGCAAGAAAATTAGTCTTTCTAATTCCTGCCTTCTTTTCTCTTTCAGGTCAATAAATCTTGACTCTTTCAGCAGTCTTATCTCTACTTTGCACAACCCATTCCTCTGAAAAACTATAACTGTTATGTGCATAATAGAACCCAGTAGGGGTAATGCTAGTTTGAGAGAAAAAGGAGTGCCAAATGGGCTATGCCAGAATTCATAGTCTGGGAAAGGCAAGGCAAGCAAATACACTTGCATTAATCATTTTTTAAGTTTTCTTACACTGTATGTAAGAAATTCTTGAAAAGTGTATGTAAGAAGAAAAAAATGTAAATAAAAAATAATAAACAAAAGGGGAA